TTTGTTTTGGGGTGTGTGTGTGTGTGTGTGTGTGTGTGTGTGTGTGTGTGTGTGTGTGTAGGTGTGTTCAATTGTTTTTTGCATTGGTTTCTGCTTTGCATCATTATATAATGGTAGAGAGTGGGTCTCAGGGAGCACATACCACAATAAGTGAACATTGTAATTTACAAGTAGTTTTTGTACCCTAACTCCCCATCCCCTACTTTATTTGAATTTCAAAAACTACAAGAGACAGCAAAGCTTCCCATCCACCATCCTATTTCAAAACAGAACAAATCCAGAGCACGGATCAGGGAAGAATAGAGGACTGAGCAAACATCAGAAGGGAAAGCCTCTTCCACTGACACTGAATAACAGAACTAAAGAGAAAAACAAGAGATCTGTCACAAATGAGGAAAAACCAAAGGAAGGCCACAGGCAATTTCAAATGTATCTAAGACGAAACTTCTGAATAATTAGACCTTAGTGGCCAAACAATGGAAGTCACCAAGGACTGGCCCCAGAATATGACAGGGATTAGGGAATGGATGGAAGGAGTGAATAAGACACAAGAAAGACAAGATGCAACACTGAAAAAACTTGTAACAGAGATTTTGGCAATAAAAAATTTCATCTAGGAAATAAACAGCAATGTGACAAGCATGGAAAGCAGACTTAATCTAGCTGAAGAAAAAAAATCTCAGAACTTGAAGACCAGAATATGGAATTAACCCAATCTGTAAAAAACATAGAAAGAAGACTAGGAAGGAAAGAACAAAGCCTACAAGAGATGTGCAGTTATATCAAGACGCCAAACTGACACCTGATTGGTATCCCAGAGGAAGAAAAGGAAATGGAGAACAACTTGTAGCAAGTATTCCAGGAGGTAATCCAAGAAAACTTTCCCCTTCTCACTAGAGATGTGACTAGCCAAGCACAAGAGATACAGAGAACCTCCACAAGACATCAAATGAGAAGACAAACCCCTAGACACATAGTAATTTGCCTACACAAAGTAGGCACGAAAGAAAAAATCGTAAAGACAGCAAGAGAGAAAGGTCAGACTACCTACCAGGGAATACCAGTAAGAATGGCAGCAGACTTATCGGCAGAAACACTACAGACAAGAAGGGATTGGAGGCCTATATAAAAATTCCTCAAAGATAAACAATTTCAACCAAGAATTTCCTACACAGCAAGCTCAGCTTCATCAGTGATGGAGAATTAAAATCTTTCTTAGACATCCAATCCCTAAGATTATGCAGCTTCCAGACCAGCTCTGCAGGAGACAATTAAAAAGGTATTAAGCACAGAAGAAAGGAAAAAAGAATGACCACACACTTCCCAAGAGAACAGCAGAGCACAGAATCAACAGAGAATACAGCACAACAAGAAACTTGAAAACACACACATACATCAACCACAAAGCCAAAAGAAAACAAGCAAAGAAAAACTTTATTTATCCCTCATGACAGGGATAAACAATCACATTTTAATAATCAGCCCAAATGTGAATGGACTAAATGCACCACTGAAAATACACAGAATGGCAAACTGGATAAGAAACCATGACTCAATTATTTGTTGCATCCAGGAGACTCATCTCACTATAAGGCACACATACAGACTCAAAGTTGAAGGATGGAAAACGAGTTTCCAAGCAAATGGATCACAAAAGAAGGCAGGAGTTGCGATCTTGATATCAGACAAAACAATCTTTAAGCTATCAAAAATTTAAAAAGATGCAAAAGGGCACTACATAATGATATAAGGTTCAATCCATCAACAAAAATATCCACCATATATGCTCCCAACACAAAGCACCAGCATTTATAAAGCAACTACTAAGTAAACTAAGATAAGATATTGACTCTATTATAGCAGGGGACTTGAATACCCCACTAACAGCCCTATATAGATCATTGAGGCAAAAAATCAACAAGGACATCAGGAACCTAAACTTGACACTTGACCAAATGGACTTAATCAATACATACAGATTATTCCACCCAACAACCACAGAATATACATTCTCCTCATCATCACATGGAGTGTACACCAAGATCGATCACATCCTTGACCATAAGTCAACCATAAACAAATTCCATAAGGTTGAAATCTTGCCATGCACACTCTCCGACCACAGTGGAATAAAAATAGATATCAACACCAACAACATTTTCCGGAAGCCCACAGAGACATGGACACCAAACAGTTTGATGCTGAACAACTACTGGGTCAACACTGAAATCAAAGCAGAAATTAAAAGATTCCTGGAAACAAATGGAAATGAAGAAACATCTTACCAAAACCTCTGGGATGCCATGAAAACTGTTCTAAGAGGGGGATTTATATCTCTCCAAGCACACATCAAGAAAACAGAAAGATCACAAGTGGAGCGCCTAACACATCACCTAAAGATGCTGGAAAGAGAAGACAACCAAAACCCCAACTTTAGCAGAAGAATCCAAATCAACAAAATAAGAGCCCAGATATAGGAAATAGAAGACAAAAATATCATAGAAAACATCAACAAAACCAAAAGCTAGTTCTTTGAAAGAATTAACAAAATTGCTGGACCCCCTAGCCAGAATGACCAAGAAAAAGAAAGAAAAAACCCAAATAAACACAAACAGAAATATAAAAGGTCAAATCACAACAG